TCGTATCACTCCGCTAAGCCCCTCCCATCAAACCAACAGCAGAGCAGAAGGAGCCAGTCGCCCTGCGAAATCTCATGAATCATATCAAATATAGCTTAATAGCTTTATTTCAGTGACTGGCATCACTTAAATGACTAGTATACCACAGAAGTTACCTGCTAGTTGTTTCCTGCACTTAAATCTGAATGTGTGTACATCCCTGCCTATATATTCCTCCCTGAGAAGATCAAACCAACTGTGTAAATATTTACAAGCTCAAATTAACTATTTACATGTGAGCTAGAAACACCCTAATCCAGAGATCCAGAGGGAAAGAATGAGAGAGGAGGTCAAACGTGCAAACGCCACAGCAACTGACTACATGCAAACAGTGCAAGAGGAGAGGGAGAGACCCCGGTGCTGTTGGCAAAAGAGCCGTGGACTGAGATCACACGAATCAGGATGCATGGGAATGAACGGCAATATATTTGAACATATTTCTCACCTTTCCTCAATGGTCTTAATAAGTCTCTCAATTTGTCACTAGTTGCTTCTAAGAAATAAAGTCGCTAAGAGCGTGTGAAAAGTAACTTAATCTAGAGATGAAGTCGCCAAGTTGGCAACACTGATCTCTCTCTGTGATTGATTGTGTGTGTAAGCACGGGTGTGACGTAGCTTGTATTCTTATTTTGAGTGCTGGACACCCCTCCAGTGCTCTACGGCTCTCAGAGGCAGCTGCAGAGAAGCGTCTAACAGCAGTTTGAGAGGACGGTCCTTTTTGAATGCCTCAGCAACACACAACACAGCGCTTCGTCAGTCAGGGGAAGTAAGCAGCATCGAGTGGAAAATGATTCTACACATTCTGTGGAGATGAGTGACACTTACAAGAGTTACGAGTCCTTAGCAGCTATATACCCCCGCATTATATGACTCGTGGTTTAAATCTTGATTCAGCCTTTTTTTTTTTTTTGCATCGTTCTAAAACGTATTAATCGATTTAATCATTTTATCACCCACTTCTACTTTAAATAGTCTGACTCACCAGAAGTAGACTGTGGTTGATTGTTTCCATATTTCACACGGCATTCTGCTCCCCTTCTCATATCTGTGTGTTACCATTTTCAAAATCCCCTATGCTACAGAAAATAAACACCTCCAAGCTTACAACCTACACACTGAAACTGGTAAGTTACCAGAACCTGGTTGCTAACGGTTCAAGCTACACCACTTTTATTCCTTTTTGCAAGGAATAAGAACAAGTTCCCTCCAACACAGTTTTGCAGGGGCACCGTCGCTGCATCTTGGACAGCCACTTAACAAATAAATATAAAACTACAAATGGACAACTGCAAAACTTATACAAAATCTACAAACAAGCCACAGTGTTTTCCCCCTACAGCCGAATGATAATGGATGCAGCCAGACCTTTACCTAGGGTTGGCACAGTGCTGTGGAGATACAGGTCTGGCTGGTATGTGTTAAGTGATTTATTTTTGCTGAAAGAGAACTCGGGCTTACTAGCAGATATTTCATCATTAGTCCACCCATGAGCTCCTCCTCACCTCTGCATTTTTTGTCTGCCTCTGTCACTGGTCTTTTGGATTTACGACAGGAATTACGTCGACCCAGACTGGAATGGAAAGAAGCCTGTGTGGGAGAAGAGACAGACTTTGTGTATTAATAACAGGGAGTGTTCTGTAGGAACAGAGATAGAGGCAAGACTAAAGTGGAATGATGAGGACCCAGCCATTTGGCTGCCATGCTGCATTGTCTGCGTTGGTTCTCAGCTGATCACAGCTGGAACGGAGAGAAGTAAGGAGGAGGGCGGGCGAAGACCGTAAGAAGCAGAGAATTGGGGAGGCACTGATCTTGTTCTGATTATTATTTTTTTTTCTCTCCAAAAACCTTTTCTAAGACCTAAACTCAGGGTATGTGCCTGTGCTGAACATGGTACCAGTGGTCTTTTCTCCAAAACGTTTAATCCAAATAACACTGCCTCACTGCGCAGTATTAACTGTAAGTGTACACTATCATTATTTTTTGTGCGAGGTTTAATTATATTATTCTGCTAGACAGTTTATGAGATTTTGTAATGCAGCCAGCCAGTGACATTTTTAGTAGATCCTGACTTGAGGGTTTTCACTGCAACAAATGAATGGACGCAGAACAGAAAACTATGTGACAGAACGCTCACGTCGGGTCAATACCTTATCTGCTTAATAAAGTCAGTATTGGCACTGATACCTGTCCAAGAGCTTATATTGGGCCATTCCTGCAAAGAATGGGTGTTTTAGGATTGATTGAAGGGTCAGTGGACACACAGAGCATATTTCTGTCTCTGCTCTGTGGGTGAGTGCAGTTTTGGCCTACATAATGTCATGTTCCACTGGCACAGCATCTGGATAAGTCCACCTCCGTTCACTTGCTCTGCATTACACATCTAAGTGTCCATCTGTTAGCCTAACCGCTGAGGCATTACATATTGATGTACGAGGTGTGTGCTTCTGTGTGTTGAAAGCCGGCATATTTGTGTGTGTTTGAAGTCAGGTGTGTTTTTAAAGCAGCAGCAGCTTTTACACACTGCTTTTTGTGGTTTTAAGGGACTGAGGTCAGGGTTTACATTTAATAAAAGGACAATTAATACCCAGCTGGAGAAAAAGCTGAGGTAGCTGCATATGTTGGAAGACCTCGCAACTTTACTGCACTCCTCCATAAGAGCCCAGTAAAATGCACAGACATGCAGCATCTCTCTATTTTCAAATTCACATATTGTAAAACCATGTTGTACAAGGTTTGCTCTCTCATTCTCTGTCTCAGTGTGTTTCATTTTCTTTTCTCTTTTCCTCCTCGTGTTTCCTCACTCGGTTGGCTTTTTTCTCCTCAACAACACTCACGCGGTGACTATTGCATGAGACGGACAGAAAGAAGAGTGAGGACAGGAAATGGTCCGCTCTGCAGAAAGAGCCAGAGATGGGTTTCTATTTGCACTGCAGTGTTGTGTGTGGTTCTGTGGGTTTATTTTGTGATTGTCAGGGGAATCTGATGAGTATTTATAGACGCTCTTGCTTGTCCTGCTTCCAATTTGCAGATGGATTACATTCCACTCAAAACTTTGTGGAGGTGCGTGTAAGATGAAGGGAGAGAATAGAGGGATAGAAAGAGAGAGATTGTGACTAGTGTGTGTAAAACAGAGGGAATGAGGAAGAGATGAGGGATGATGACTCACCCAGGAGAAGACACCTTTGGTGGCCAGGACCCCTCACATACTGAAGCATACCTGCACTGCAGTACAGCCTCCTCACACTCACTATCTCAGGAGTGTGTGGGCTGGCGGAAGAGATTTATGGTATGGCTCTTCTTGTAATGCAAACTCTTAATATACACACACACATACACAGGCTGGCAATCTGAAGTCCCAGTGGACCAGAATGATGACTTGGCTTTAAAGTAGGCCAAGGACCAGATTGAAGGACACACATACACACACACTGAGTCATATTCACTCTCATCTTTATTCTCTGCGGATTTTTCCAAAATAGCAGATTAATCCAGCGAAATGAGCAGTTCTGAGAATCCGTCAGTTGTCCATCCCTATATCCCTCTACCCCTTCATCCCTCTGTCTCCCTCCCCCTCTTTTTATCCAGCTCCGAGGCTGGCAGAGTCTTTGGTTATGTTTGACCTTTGGGTGCGTGCGGAAGGCGGGAGGACGGAGGATGATGTATTTCTAACAAAATGCGAAGCGATACAGAGCTAGACTGACAATTTGAAAATGACTGACAACTGGTAACAGGCCTGGTGACACTGTGATTCTGACTGTGTGATTATGTGTGAGAGATGAGTGTTATTTGTGCGTACACAGCCAGGAAGTATGTTTGAGGTTGTTAACAGCTTCTCTCAGGTCTTCCTGTGGTTGCTATGTGGTTTTGCTTAAAAAAAAAAAACATTTGGAAAAATCCACATACTGTAACTGAAATATTAAAGAGGAACGAATAAAAGGAAGACAAAGTTTCCTTGTGTTCGTGAGTTAGACTGTCAGTTTCAAGACTGCACAGGAATTTTTGTGTAACTGCTTAGCCTGCATACTGCTATTTTTACATGTGTAGTGAAACAATATTTTTAGTCTGTTCCTGTTTTTGTCTTATCCAAGGAGCATGTTTGAGTGACGAGCAAAGGAGGAAGTGGGATCTCTGACGCTCCGCCTCCTCTGCTGGTGGAGCACGCTGCACATCTCAGCAGAGACCCCTTTGGTCACTCAGACAGGTATGACTATACGAATGATTGGCTGTATGAAATGGAGCAGCAGGTTGGCTGAGCCTCATATTAGCTTAATCCGAACTTCACAGTGCATTTTTGCACAGACTAAGGACTAACATATCCAATTAAATACATACAGAGAAGAAACTAAAAACAGCACAGATGCTGGAAGTTTATCATTCAAGAGTCACATAACTTGATTGTCCTTAATGTTACTCTGCTGGCATCCTCATGGCAACAGCGCTTGCTGCTGCAGCTCCCTCGTCCATCTCAACCTTCTTCTTATGCGTTGAAGCTTTTGGTATTATTGATGTAGCTAAAAATCTATTCAAGTGCGTTTCAAAACCATCTCTGCATTCTGTATGCTGTGGTTTACGTGTATTACACTGAGATGTACTTCTTTCAGGAGCATCCTCACTGCAGCTCCCCTTAAGAGCAGCCTTTTCTGTCAAATCTAAATAGCCTCTGCCACTCAAGTGTTTTTCATTCTATTTTGGTAATTAATTGTATGTAACCTTCTGTAGCTATTTAAAGTGTATTAGAACATAGATGTGCCAAAAGGTTAATTGCATGGGTGAGAGACTTGGTATACTGTAGCTGTATTTTTAAGATGATTAAGATGTGAGCTGCCAGGGCGTCGCGATCCAATTGTTCTAGTTGTTGGACCTTGCTAATCAGGCATGTTCTTGAGTTCTACTTGTTTCTTAGAGGAGGTAGTGACATTGCTAAAGTGTTTGTGTTTGTGTGTGGAGACATAGGGTTGAGTGTTTTCTAAAGTTTATGCAGCAGATACTGTATTGGGCTTTGGTCTGTGGATACTGTTCAGATGGCCCAAACGAGGAGACAACGGTTTTGTGTCGTTCACTGGTCAGAGTAGATGACTTTGCTTAGGTGCTTAGGGGTTCAATTTCCTAAGTACTACTAATGCAAAACATGCTTCCTGATTCCTTAGTACTATTTACTTTTATATGTTTGTATTGAGACGGATGTGCATCAAATCCATTGTGGGTTTTTGGGTGGTAGCATATTGATAAATAAACTCATTGTTCATCTATCATGGTTTATTATAGTATGATGCGAATGAACAACAGTGTAACAATACTTGGCTACTGAACAGAGACAGTTTTAATGCGCGGAGCTGTCAAAACCACATTATCCTTTTAGCAATGATTATCTGATTATTGTGCCTTTCTCTGTGTTCTACTGTCATCATGCATAACTTTACCAACAACTAAATATGATATATTTACTGTGAAGGATTCCTGAGTTCAATGAAGTTTCAAGTTTCTGAAAGTTGATTTTCATACTGTGTTGAAGTAAATTGCTGCCTGGAAGGTAGAAAAAAAAAACTTTTTAAATATCTTGTGTTTTTTAGAAAATATTGGGCAATTTTGTAAATAATACATTATTTTCAGTCTTTTAAGAAAAGGAAAACAAAAGTCTTATTTCTCTCTGTTCTTTCCTCAAAGGTTAAGTAATACTTAATACAATACAAAAAGGGCAAATATTTGTATAAAATAACATTATTGATGGTTTTACAGATAATGGATTCAGTTTCAGGAACATTGCTCTTATTTGCTCATGGCACTGTAACAAGATTTAGATTTCGGTTGCCACAGAACAGTCTAGTTGCATTGGGACAGATTCCTGTCTAGAAAGTAAAAGCACAGTGTAATGTCACATTTTAATGTTCAGAAAAAACTGGAGGCAGACTGTTAAAGTGGTTTGTAGGCAGGAAAACCCTGCTGTGATACCAGAGCCACATAAATCCTGCCTGGTTGGCATAAGTAGTAGCAGGAGTAACAGAGCTGAGAACAGCTGACATACACCAGAGGCCGGACACACAAACCTGCCAGGTCAAGCAGCTCAGACTGTAAGTATTGTGATTTAATGTGTGTGTGTGTGTGTGTGTGAACGTGTTATCACTAATTAACACACAGTCTGTGATGGTGTTTAAATAGTTGTATTGTGATTTATTTATTTTTTCTTCGCCCGTGTCAGTTAGTCTCATCAAAGCCTCAACTTGTATCTTTGCATGTTTGTGAGGTGAAAGTGTCTGTTGGAGAGTGATAGTGAACATCAATGGAGGGGAATTGTGCCATTAGGACTTATTAATAGAGCAATCACATCACACTGGCGTCACAGGGACCAAGAATCATGTTGCTGTGGTTTGTGTGTTTCCTTATGTTGTAATTGATTTATTTTTATACATTTTGCTGTATACCTGCTGTGTGTCTGTTGTTTGCTGGTACTGTATAGCCAAGCAGCAGCGCTCTCTCCAACCGTCAAGGGAACACCCCCTGTGACAATAATGAGTATTGATTTTGGCCAAAAATGCCCGAGTGATTGGAGATTGAAGTGTTTAATTCCACTTTGTGCTTGTGCCAAGCTTTGCATTGGTAATCAATTTCAGCGGGGACTTTTGCGCTGCCATGGGCAGTTCTCTTTTGTTTTACTCTTTACCTTGTTTACACTGAGTTTTTAAACTTTCCGTCTTCCTGTCTCTCTCTGGTAGTAGCCATTGTAGCAAAATAGAGCCTATTAAAGTCCAACCAATACTTGATTTTTAAGGCCATTACCACTATAGGTACTTTATAAGTATAAGTACTTTCTGCAATAGCAACCAATGTTCTACTTTTTTAGATAAACACATGCACTTTTGATAAGGAAGATAAAAAAATTTAATATATAGTAGTCAGTTACTTAGAAATATATCAGATGAAACTGAGTAGAAATCATAACTATAAACTCAACTTAATATATGTCTATAAACCTTATCTACTATGATGAGAAATATATTATTGACAACCTCCGCCCAGTCATAGTACAGTCCACTGTACACCCGCCCCACACTTAACTACTATGAAAGCCTACACGAGTCTCATGTTTTACCAGTTTCAGTGCCTTTGTTCATTATAAGTGATGTGAAAATATCAGATTTCCACATTGTTAACAAAATAAAACGATCAGGTATAACATCTTGGTATACTGAGGAGCGTCTTCCTGGAATGGCTGCTGAGATCCAGAGAGCTCCGGGGCAGCAAACAGAATTGAGTTTCACTGCGTGCACACCGCATTTCTTCTCTGTTTCCGATAGTTTTGTAGTTGGGTCATTTGAAACGAGACTGGGTTTGTAAAAGCTTATGCTGCTGTCAGATGTTGCTCTGTCCGCAATGACACAGCTTAAAAAAATGTCATGACATTTTGACTAAGGGGCCTCTAGACATCGTCAATGTTTAGGGGGCAACCCTGATCCAGTGTCAGTAATGAGTAAAATGTAACTTGCATAAATCAGGGTTTCCTTTACTAAAGGTTTAGCCATGACGATAAGACACAAGCTAAACGACAGCTACATTCACTCTTTTTCACTAAATGTTAAAGTTTTATTTCATAAAAGTGTATTAACTTTCATGATGTTAGCTGAGGTGATTTAAACTGACCCACTAAAAAACTCTGCAGGAATACAAATAGGAATATACTCACAGTGGATATACAGTACACAACACAACCTATGAAAATATCCACAGATACTGTTTGCTCTCATTCTCTCTCTCCGTCTCAGTCTTTGTCTCGCTCTCCTTCCACCACGGGACCAGTCTGTGTTCTGCAGCCAAGGTTATGACCTGGAAATGAAGTGACCCCAGCTTTTTTGCCAGTAGCGGCTGAGTACCTCGGCTACTCCATAGAGAGCAATAGAGACGGGGCTCCAGGCCACCTTGTTCTGTTTCACTTACCTAATATTAGCCTGTGCCTTGTTCTGCTCCAGTTGAGAGGCATTACAACTGTTCAGAAAATCACCGCGCCCATCAGCGTTGTCTTGGAAACTGTTGAGCTTATCGAGCCCACATGACCCAAGGACAGCTCACAGACTTGAATGGCACCGTCTCTGGTTTACTCATTAGAGATGCTTCAAACGGCAACATAACATTTTTACACACTCGTTTATGGCGGAGAAAGTGGTTCGAGTAAAAGCCATATGGTGCCGTGAAGAAGAAACTAGGCTATACAAAGAGCAAGCAAATAAACTGTGCTAGTGTTTTATTATATGAATTAGCAGCTCTGTGTTGACTTGTAACACACAAGTCCTCCTCTTTCATAAGCACTCGCTCATATAAATACTATCTCCCTCCTTCCCTCTTGATTTTCTTTTACACATATAAACATAAAATCCCCAGAAGGGAGGATCCTCGCTCTGAGTCATAAATTGTGAAACTATTGAAGCTCTGGATCCTCTGGCTCCAGAGTTTTTCCAAGTGGTTGTGAGAAACACTGGTTGTGCAATAGGGGGATTAAGCCTGGGGAGAAGAGGAGAGGAGGGGATGTGAAGAGAGACACAGAGAAGGATGTGAAGGGGGAAATTGTGTTCTTGTAGGGAAGTAGTGATGGCAACCGCTCTTGAAAGGAGACGACATCACTAAGAGACGAACAGGGGAGCGGGGGTGGGGTGGCTGAGAGAGAGAGAGAGCGAGCGAGATGCCCAGGATGGAGATATAAAACAAAGATGGAGGGAACGTGATATGTTAATGGATTAGGGAGAGAGTGCAGAGATGGAGGGAGAGAGAATTGTGTGTCTGTTTAATGTCATAGGGAGCCAGGCTGTTTAAAAGAGACTTCAAAGAGACTAGCGCCCAACATAAACTAAACTGACACACACTCATACACATGCAGCACACACACAGAAGCAGGGCCCCGGGTTGCCGTGAGCACAGAGGAGACCTGAGGTGTCCTCTGCCATGCCTGATTAGAAATACAGTGAGTGGAGAGGCCTGGCTGAAAGACGGTGGTGGGAAAGTGTGTGTGCGTGCGTTTAGTCAATGTACATGCATATAAGTCTTCTTTGCTGCTGCTTGGAGCGCCGCCGTCTCCTTCTTTTACATTCACTATGATCAAATAGTAAACCAGTTGGCATCTCTCTGACAGCGTTTTGACACGACTTTGTGAGCAAGAGTATATGTGTGTGTTTCTGTGAAGGAGCGCTTCCATGTCGGTGTCAGTCTCCGCCTCAGTGCTCTGTTATGCCTTTGGCAGATGTGCCAAGCTCTGCCTGTGCGCCAGGAAAGAAGAAAAAAAGGATCTATATCCAAGTTTCTGCCATGATATAAAGTTGTCATGTTACTGCGTGAAGGTCAAGTGAGGCCGATACAGCCCGTCAGAGAAACAGAAAGGAGAGAGACTGAAGACTCCCCACGGCTCCTGGAATTTCAAGAATTTTGAGAGTAATCTGAACAGTGAGACAAGCAATTTGATTAATTCTTTGAGGATATCCGGGAGGATCTGTGAACTCTCCAAACAGTTTCTTTACAGGGATAGAACATCTACCATGTTTATTAAGTTGGATGCTGGTTTTCTGACTGTAGTGTAAAACCAAACTGTCTTTGAGTTTCAGTGATGTGGTGAGGGGACCCTGAAAAATGGAGAAAACCTGCTTACTTAACTGTGGCTTGGAGAAAAATACAGAGGCTATATATCTAAGAAAGTTTATGTTTAAAACGGCAAAAGAAAAGGCTTTGATAAGGTACAGTATCATACTGTGTAGCGTGGTCTAGTAACACCTGTGTGTGGACCATCTGCAGTCAATGGTGTCAACATGCTGCACTGATAACACTCAAGACAATGAACACTACAGAACCTAGTGAGTCATTTTCTTTTCTGCACACAGTCTCACACAGTCACACACACACACACACACACTACTGTATATACTATAGCAAAAGTAAAAAAAAAAAAAAAGCTCTCCCATAACAGTCTACACAAGTCTCATATGTTACTTGTTTGATGCCTTTGTTCATCTGTGATGTGAAAGTGTTTCAACATAGTCAAAGAAAAGAGTCAGTCATGTATGTATCAGTGAAACTACAAATAATTGTGTGTGCATTAGGTGTTCAGGACTGCAACCAGCCTTTATTGTATTGATTTAGTCTTTACATGATTGTATCTATTAATTAGGTCAAGAGCTACTTTATGTGGGAAAAAATGACAGTTGAGCATTTAAAATGAAATGTCAGTGTGTATGAGGCTGTCTGATGGAGCTCCAGAGGTACAGGAAAGCTAAATGCTGATAAAGTTAAAAAGGCTGAAGAGACCATTTTAAATTTGATTCAATCTGCAGTTGATTGAGTACCAGTTTAAACTGATGTGACATGAAGCAGTTTCATTAACCTTGTCAAAACCCCTTGTTGCTGTAGTTGTTATTGATTTGATTGAATTATTTTCTTCTCTGGAGATCAGAGCATTGCATTTATCTACCACTGCTTTCTTTGCACCAGTTTCACCTTCTCAACCTGAGAGAAAATCTTGCAAGATAACAAAACTCCTGTGAATCGCATGACAAGCTTGGCAAGAGCTATAAAATTTAAGTCTCCAGTTGGGGTCAGCTTTGCATCTGAGAACAGTAATTGGTTTGTTTATCAAACTGTGGCTTAGTGCTGGACCTAGTACTTATTGTTATTGAGTATTTGTTGCAGCCCTCACCTCTCACTGCGAGTAGTTATTACAATTAACATGATTAAAGTGGCTGTTTGTGGTAGGGCCCCATTCAGTATTATGCCATGCTGCCCAGAGAGAACTTATAATTCTGTTTATTTCTGCCCTGCATTGAAATCATAGTTGGCGCTAAGGCATCAGATATGGGGAAGCTAAACTATTATGACGATATTGTTATGACAATGACAAATACATTATGAACCTAATCAACTGTGAGCATTTGACTGTAAGTTACAATCAAATTTTATATCATCAGGCAAACCTGACACACAGACTACCCAAAAAACACTGCACATTTGTACCGAGTTGTCCTAGAATAGCGTGTTAGTACCCAGACTGCAACAGCTTCAGAGTCAGAACACATCAGCAGCAGATCAAATATGCAACTTAAAAGGGAGAGAGCATGAAATAGCCCAGAATACCCAGAACGCAACAAAGTCAAGAGTTTTCAAATCGACCTGTTTATTAAAAATATATTTAAACTCACCATTTTTTCACCATTTTAAAGCAGTGCAGTCTGCTGGTTTGTTGTTTAAAAAAGTTATCCAACACCTGAGAACGTTTGAAAAGAAATCCATCCATAGTTTCCCAATTTAACGAACTAATTTGGCATACTAATTTTACACTGCAAAAAAAAACAGGAAAGGTGTGACAAAGAATCTTCCCCACTGATCTCAGTGCCAGTGAAGGCCTAATTAGCATACGTTGAATACCAATGTTTGGGTACTGAATTGTGGAACTGCTACTGAACTCACATCAGTATAGTGTGATGCCGTGAGGTAGCTGGTGAAGTGACTTATTT